GCTTTTTACTGCGCCATAAAGTTTATTTTCTGAACATGTTGGCATCCAACTTAAGTCCATTAAAATCGACTGTTTTGGTAACTTACACATTAGGTTAATGATAGCAAAGTCAGAGACAACTTCTGAAGAGGTAAGGTCAACAGTTGAACTCATGACCAATTGACATAACTTGGTTAAGTAAATGTTTTTTTTTCTTTTTCTTAAAGTGATCGACAATGATTTACTTTGTCATATTGGGGGATTTTTCAGAATATTTGAGCCTTAGAACGTTTATTTAATTATTTGCATCTGGAAATAACTTTCATAAATGTTTATCACTTTTTCTCTTTTTTATATTTGACAGTTTTGACTTAAATAAGTTATTTCTGTAAAAAAAAAAAAAATCGTATTTGCCCGTGTCCCTGGAAGTTTAGGCCTGTAATAGTAAAATATAAACGCGTGTTCTTGCATGTATTTTTTCTATGGTTCTATGGCAATAGGTTGTGCAAAAATCTTTTTTTTAATTGTCATCATACAGGTTTATTCGTGTAGGCCTATTATGTTTTGCGTTTTAAGGGTGACTCTAAATCATTTACAAAATAAATAAATAAATAAATTAACATTTAAATGAACAAAAATAAACTAAATGCGTGTAAAATAACTGCTCAACACTTGGTGTCAGTGATACTCAACAATTCCCTCCAGCTGGTAGCACGTCACCTCTCCACGTATGGATCTTTCATTTTTCCAGAAGAAGCAAGCCGTGTGAAAGTGCGCAAGCGGCTGCACAAATCAAGATATATTCTCACATTTTTTTATACATAACGCATATCACCAAACCTCCAGGAGCAGAGGCTGGATTTTAAAATAAGGAATTATCACGGACTTCCCTCTGCCATCATTTTGCTATGGAACAAAGAGGAGGCAAATCACGGAGGGAGCGACATTGTTGGTTCCTTTTGTTTGCTTTGAACGCTGCATGGAGCGGGGTTTTTGCGCAGCTCAAATACTCCATWCCCGAGGAGGTTCAGGGTGGAACTGTGGTTGGAAACATAGCAAAGGATTTGGGGCTAGATAAGAGTGCTCTCCAAAACAGAGGGTATCGCATTGTGGCAGGCGCAACCGAGCCGCTGTTTGAGGTGAATGCGAACGACGGCGTCCTGTTTCTGAAAAAGAAAATTGACAGAGAGGAGGTGTGCGAGCGGAGCAGTTCGTGCGTAATTAACCTCAAAACGGTGTTGGAAAACCCGCTTGAGATTCACTATGTGACTGTTGAAATTCTGGATATTAATGATCACTCGCCTGTTTTTCCTGAGAAAGAAAAAAAGCTGGACATTTCCGAGTCGGCTCTGCCGGGGGCGAGGTTCCAGCTGCAGGCTGCGGGTGATCCAGATGTGGGCCAGTTTTCTATCCAGCAATACAAACTGAGCCAAAACGAACATTTCAGAGTTGAGGTGAAAGACCGCGGAGGAGATCGAAAAGTACCATTTTTAGTCCTGCAGAAGCAGTTAGACAGAGAGACAGCTGGGAAGCACAGGCTGCGTTTAACCGCTGTAGATGGAGGCAAACCGGCCAAATCTGGAGACATAGACATTATTGTGGATGTGCTCGATGTTAATGACAACTCCCCAGTTTTCACTAAYGAGGTGTATTCTGTCAAGATTATGGAAAATGTTCCTATTGGTACTACAGTGATTCAGATAAATGCAACAGATTTGGATCAGGGAGCAAATAGTGAAATAATTTATTCATTTGGTAACGAAGTTGATCCAAAATTACTGAAGCTTTTTAGTATAGATGAAAACACAGGTGAAATCAAAGTGATAGGACAGGTTGATTTTGAAAAAGATAAAATTTACGAAATTGACATTCAGGCATCTGATCAGGGACCGGTTCCTTTAACAAGTAGTAAAAGTGTTACATTAAATGTTATTGATGTTAATGATAATGCACCGGAAATTGAAGTGATGTCATTTTCTAGCTCCATAAAAGAAGATTCAAATATTGGAACAACTGTGGCTCTAATCAGTGTTAGTGATTTAGACTTTGGGACAAATGGAAAAGTAATTTGCATGATTAAAGAGGATGTACCTTTTAGTTTATCTCCATCTTTACAAGAAAATATGTATGCTGTTATAACCAGGTCACAGCTAGACAGAGAGAATGTAGTTCAATATGATGTCACCATTACAGCTAAAGACACTGGTGAGCCCTCATTTTTGACTGAGAAGACTATCAGGGTGGTTGTGTCTGATGTTAATGACAACATTCCAGAATTTTTATCAAGCCCTTACACTTTTTATATTAACGAGAACAACAGTCCTGGGGCCTTTGTGTTTTCTGTAAAGGCCCAAGATCATGACGAAGGTGAAAATGCTATCATTTCCTACCATCTATCCAGAGATTTAAGTGGAAATAATAAGCTGAACTCATTCTTAAGCATAAACTCTGAAAATGGAGATATTGTGGCACTGAAGAGTTTTGATTTTGAGAGTCTGAAAACTTTCCAGTTCCAAGTTGTGGCCACAGATTCTGGAGCTCCGTCTCTGAGCAGCAACGTGACAGTGAACGTGTTCATTCTGGATCAGAACGACAACGCTCCAGTCATCCTGTATCCAGTCAGCTCCAACGGTTCTGCTGAAGGCGTGGAGGAGATTCCCCGCAACGTGAACGCAGGA